TAAAAAGAGCTTGTTTGTGTTGATATTACATCTATAATTTGTGATGTTTTTCTCACATTTTCACTCTGGATTTGAACTTTGTTCTCTGTGTGAGTCTATCGGTCTGTCTCATCACTGCCGAGCAGTTTTGGTCCACTCTCGGTTTCAGCGTTGCTTCAGTTCATCGAGGTTTGCACCATTCGTTCATGCACAGCTCTCTGGACTCTGCACCACTGCAGCAGCTTGATTCTTTTCTTTTTCAGCCATGCATCTTCATGGAGCTCTTGGGTTTGAGCTCAGGGTGAATTTGCTGGTACGTCTGCTCCTGGGGAGATTGTGGCATTGAGTGTGATAACATATACACCTGTATATAGAGGTGGTCCCTCGGGTCATTAATCGGTTAATGAAGGGTATTTGATTGGCTGAAACTTACCCTCCGCTTCACACGAATGGACTTTGAGGAATAAACGCTCTAACAGTCTTTAAAAGGTAGAGTTTAAAACTGTGAAACAAATAATTCTAGTTTTAGTATTTTAAGCTTCTAGTACAGACTAAAAACTTACTGAGAAACTTGCACAGATGAGCTTCACTAAGAGGTTCGTACTCTTCATACTAGATTAAAAGTTGAAACCACTGAACGATGTTTCAAACAGGCTGAGGATGATCAGAAAGCTCTGAAATACATATATGTATGCAGAAAAATGTAAACATGGTTGAAATAGTTGCATTTAGTAAAACCCAAGATTGTAACTTGTTGGTAATCTTGTATATTCAGGTATGTTGCAGTGCATTGTGGGTCGCTCACTCCGAGGTTGAAACTGAATCTGCAGCTGAATGTGACGCCACGCTGACGTTCTCTTCTGAGATCACGAGCCTGACTGAAGGAAACGGGGACATCCACAGCAGATCTCTGTCTCCGTGGAACTGGACGTGAGTAAACTCATGAATGAATCTGTGAATAGATGAATGAGTAAAAACAGAAGCAACTCTGATAAATGTCGAATTTCACTTGTTGCTGTGTTTGTTGACTCAGGCCAAACACGGACAGAAACCGAATCCCCAGGACGCTCTGGGAGGCCGAGTGCAGCACCAGCTTTTGTTCCAGTCCCATCCCGGGACAGAAGGACCAACACAACCTGAACTCAGTCCCCGTCTACCAGGACATTCTGGTCCTGACCTCACACAATGGCCGGCGCTGCTACAAAGCATCGTTCCGCTCTGTGGCGGTCGGCTGCACCTGTGTTCGAGCCGAGACCGATCAGAAGTGAAGCCCAGGAAACAGAAATGTTTCGAAATAAAAGGAGCTAAAAATAAGCTAATTGAAACCTGGTCATTTCATTCTTGCTGTTTTTGTTGTATTTATTTAAAAACTGCACAGTGCGTGTTAATATCAGATGTGCCAGATTTGAATCAGCTCATTTTTATCTGTAGTCTTTGTGCAGGTAACATAAAAAACACACAAACAAATAAAAACTACGTGGAGTAAAAAATGATGACAAGTCTGGTTTGTTTGAGCTCAGCTTTCATTGTATGTGCAGCGTCGATCTGAGAACTGCCAAAACAGTTACTCCCCTTTACTGACCTCACATTTGGTTCCTATCAGGCCCCTTGCTGTCTACTCTAGCAGCAGCCCTAACACCAATCCCCCCAATAAATCAACTGAAAGTATTGGGGAAAGTCTATATAAAACTTTATACATAAAACTGCCATGTTTTTTAAATGATCGAAGCTTAAGAGATCGCCTTTATCGATTTTTTTCCTGGAAATGTCCAGATGTGCTTGGATTTGTACTTCGCTCCCGCTCTGCAGGCCTACTTGTTGTTCCTAGAGTATTTAAAAGTAGAATGGGAGGCAGAGCCTTCAGTTTTCAGGCCCCTCTTCTGTGGAAC